ACATCATCATCTCCTGTAGCCTTTCCATTCCTTATGTCCTTGATAGGTTTTTCCACCTCACTTTGTAAAATATATGGTCCTTTCTCGTCTGTATCTACTTCTTCTTCGGGTTCGACTTCCAAGGTTTCTGGCTGATTAGGTCAATCATATAGTTCTGTAATATAATTTTCCCAAATTTTCAGCACTTGCCTCTGATCTCCTATTCTATTCCCCTGGGAGTCTCAGTGTCAGTGCTAGATTTCCTACATCTAAGATTCCTCTGTTAATTGTTCAAATCTACTGCTCCAGAAGAAACGTTAAATGGAGGTTTCACTGGTTCTTCAATGATATGCTTATATTTGGAAAAAATGAACATCAGTGCTAGTGGCATATATAAAACAACAAAGATTGACATGGAAAGTATGCATATTCCATCTGAGTATACCTTTCCTTATTATTATTATTATTATTATTATTATTATTTTGGAGGGGGTGAGTTTCCTGATGCACTGCGACCAGTTGATCTATTGTGCGTCCCCCTTTAATTATTCTACTAGTCGCCATGCCTTTCCAGTACTGGTGCTCGCTATCAGCCCCATTCTGCCAGCAAGGTCAGCCCTCTCTGGCAGTGGTCCCCGATACTTCCCCATCTACTGGAGGAAGTGGAAACTACTTGGGTGGGAAACTTTTGCCTAATTTTGTTCAGAGGTCTCCTAGAGACATGAGGATCTTTTACATGCTGTAAATCTACGACACGGGACACACGGCTTAAAGTCCCTCCCAGAGGACTTGTTCCCAGAATTTTTCTGCCCTTAAAAATTCCACGACCTCCACCGGGTTTGAACCCGCGTACCTTGAGTCATGAGGTGGGAACGTTACCCCTAGACTATGGAGGCCTTTCCTTGCTTATTTTTGAAGTAATCATCATCATCATCCTTCATAGAATTGGTTTCAGTTTGTGTGTTGTAAATCTCAGAACAGGGGTATCCCCATCTGGTCAAATGGATGCAGCCTTCTTTTGCTTGATAACACATTTCAACCAATCTCCTGTTATCAGTCTTGCTTATGGCCCATGGTTTTTTACTGTGTAATCCCTAGGATCATCAAGAAAAGATGTGGAAGTTTTAAATGTTTATATTTGTTAATGTAAACCACTTTCAGCACTGATTCAGATGTATGATATTTACATATTCATAGTTCTTAATTATACAAGTAACAGGTCAGAGCAGAAAAAAAGGTGAATGCAGTCAGTGTTGTTGTCATCAGTGTCATGTCATTTGTCATTCACTTCCACTTTTGGTAATTCAGTGTCTTAAATAATAAAACTAATGAGTTCATTGTTTTAATTACTGTGTTGTCTAAGCATGAATTTTTTTGAATATGTTATTGTGAATTTTGTGTGTGTAGGAAAGGAACAGGCAATTTTGTTAGGCTTGCATGAGTGCTAGTAGTATCTGCAGTGCCCCCAACCCCCAATTTTCCATAGAGCTTTGGTCTTGTCAGCTATGCTGCTTATAGGGACATAACCCCAGCTTCTGGCAAGGGATCGCTGTGTTGATATTGTAAGAAAACATCCACTCAAATGGGTTCTTTTTCTTTACTATACAAATTTAAGGTAACGTTTGATCTTATATACAGCATGGCATGAAAAGTACTTTAACGTTTGAAATCTGAAATTTATCTAAATAGTATTTAAAATTCAGTTCCTATCTGACAGAAAACATTTTTCTCCTACATTACAAGATTAGTCATTTAATGCTGTTTACAGAAATAATTGCTGCTGTCAGAATCACATGCCGTATATGCACTGTGTGAACAAAATGAGTTTTTAATTTTAAATGAGTGGTGTATACAGGGTGTTTCAGGAGCTCCCCAACCATTCAGAACTGGGCAAACGTTCTTATGAACTTCGTAATTTATAATGTCCATTACTATCATCTCCCAAATTATTGACTTTTCCTGCTGAAACACCTTGTATAGTAAACACTGTGCTTTAAAGGACAAAGTTCAGTTAAGTGTTCCATTTTCTTTGGTATGCCAAAGTAACAGGCTCATGAAACAGCACTGAGCACATATTTCTTCTTTGGTATGAGCGAAGGAATTAATGGTCTGAGTTTTTGTTGCAGGCCATTAAACAGCTTCGTCGGGAAGTTGTGGATGGAATGCGAGCCCTCATGAAGCTGGCAAAAGAGAAGCAGACTACTGGCATGCTCACAATCTGTGAGGATATGATATCGAAGGTTTGTGGTGCTTTGAAGAGATGGACGTTGTGTGACAGTATAAAAATGTTTTGGGTCTGAGATTCTTGCAACAGTGACTATGATTAGTGCAATTTTCTGGGTTGTAATGCTCTCTAGTTTTGAGAGAGCCTGACTTTTCAGAGGAGCATACCACCTCCATCTTCAGGGTTGAAGAGCAAGCCAAGCAAGAAACCAACAGAAGCAGGCAGTTTTTTTTTCTGCTTTACATGTTGTTACAACTCAGAAGACCATACTCATCGGTATAGAAATATTCCATAATTTTGTGCACTTTGTGGCATGGAGGCTGTATGAAGCCCACAGCAGCTGAAGATCAGTGTTCAGTGTAATGAAATAGTCATGTAATTTAATTATGTTCAAAGGCAAGCAATACCAGTGGGGATCCCTCCTGCCAACTTTCACAATAGTTGAGTTCCAGAAGGTGGTTGTGTATCTTGAAACCTTTTGTCTTACCTTTGGTTTTACTATTTTGAATTTTCATTGAAGAATTCATAGTTCAATTAACTTTAATACCATTCATTTTAGTCATTTACAATCCTGTTTTCTTTTATCTTATTTTGGATGGGGTAATTATTTGGGATTAGTGGGTTTTTTTGACCTTGTTCATAGTCCAGTATTCTAAAGAGTCATCATCAGAACCCTTCAGAATCTACAAGAATTTAATGTAATTATTTTTCAGTCTTCACAAAACAGAATATAAAAAGTTTGTTATAAAAGTCACGCTAATTTAAATCTGCATAAGTTGAATTCACACAAGTCAGAGAATACCTGTACAGTATCATAACATTTTTTTGATTATTCTGTGGTTTTGTGTCACATCAACGGTCTAGGCCATATAGCATCAAATAAAATATGATAAGGTGGTTATGAATCACATTAACAGATGGTTGTAGCATATTTGAAGGTACTGTCATATTAATCTGGAAGGGCCAAGGAAGTTGTGGAAACTCACATACACAGTGTGTCCAGGTTCTGTTAGGACTGTATTCATTAAAAATACAAGACGTGAATTATTTTCAAAATTTCACTCTTTATATTCAAAATAGTCTCCTTCTGAATCAGTACATAGCTGGAATCGATTGAAAAGTTTTCAAAAATAGTCACTCTACTCCTTTTGTGGAATCATATTTAAAACTGCGGTAGATTCCCTTTGGATGTCCTGGATGGTGTCGTGACGGTCTCCTTTCAGCACCAACTTAACTTTTGGGAACAACCAGAAATCTGCTGGAGCCAAATCTGGCGAATACAGAGGATGATCAAGGACTGTGATCCCTTTTCTGACCAAAAATCACACACAATCTTCAATTTGTGGGGTGGGGCATTCTCATGGAGGAGCAATCGGGAACCTTGCTCTCGATATTCAAGTCAAATTCGAAGAATTCTTGCACACAAATTATTGAGGACTCCAAGTTAATAATCAGAATTCACTGTTTGACCCTTTGGCAGAAATTCCTTGTGAATGATTCCTTTGGAATGAAAGAAAATGGTTAGCATTGTCTTTACTTGACTCTTTTGCATGTGCACTTTCTTTTGTTTTGGCTTCTTTGGACTCAACCAAGCTGCACTCTGCCACTTTGTGAGAGGCGCATATTGAAAACACCATGTCTCGTCACCAGTAACAGTTGAGTTTGTAAATTTTGTATCAGTTTGGGCCAACCGTAACATGTCTTTGCACTGTTCCACTCTGGCATGTTTTTGATCACCTGACAGTGTGTGTGGTACAAATTGTGCACAGACCTTCCGTTTGCCAAAATCCTTGGTCAAAATTTTATGTACAGTACTTTTGGTATTCCCAAAAGCTCCTTGATGAGTCTTGCAGAAACAGATCTGTCTGATGCAAGGATTTCGTTCACTTTTTTGACATTTTCTTCAGTGCAACTTGTTCTCAGCTTTGATACACATGGAGTGTCTTCAGTGTCCTCCCTGCCATCATGAAATACAGCATACCATTCAAAAATGTTTGAGCGACTCAAACAGTCACTACCGTACACACATTTCATCATTTCATATGCTTCTCTGGCTGTTTTGCCTAACTTCAAACAAAATTTGATGTTGGCTCTCTGTTCAACCCCATTTTCCGACGAGTGTCAGAACAGTACTGTTACATTCAAGGTCAGAACACATGATGCAGTGATGCTTGCGCTTTGAAATTATAGGCAGCCACAGCTGAAACTTCAAGAATCTTAATGCCACAACTCACCAGCAGATGGCATTGCAAGGAAAAATAAAAAAAAAATCTAACAGATCCTGGACACACTGTGTAAGGCTGCTAGAATTTATATTGGGAAAGAACAGTACTACAGAATTGTATTGTGTGTTTTCCTAGATTTTGGGTTAGTGAATGTTGGCTGTTAGAACTTCTTAGCTTCAGCTGTTTGAGCAATGTTATCTTCAGTAAGAAACTGAAGGAGCCCAGTACTTTTTAGCATAAATTCAATATAATTGTTCTTCTGTGTAAAAGTCACAAAGACGGAATGGCAAATGGTAGGTTTAGAGAACAGTGGCCATTTAGTGATGAAGTGAGTGTGTTCATGCCTAAATGAAAGGTACAGAATTATGTTGGCAAGTAGAGTGTTTCATGATAGTTGTTTTGATTTCTGTGCTTGTATTCAGCAGTGGTGGCAGATTATCAAGACCATGGTCTTCTGGGATGTGGTGCCATTTATGCTGGTAGATGGGTAGTATGTTTCCTTCATCTGCTGACCTGAAGATGCAGGGAACAGATTCCTCCAAAACATCAGTACCTGTCCACCAGGGTACATGGCATCACGCTCTGGAGGACACTGCACACAGTAATCAGTACTGGTTCACACATGATTTTTCTTGTTACAGATATTTTTTAACAGAAGTAGTATTTATTAAGAAAACTGGGAGCTCCATAATTTATACTGTTGCCACATAGAACTGTATTGATGAAATCAAGGAGGATGAGATGGGCAAGTCATGTAGCATGCATTTGAGAGACGTCCATACACAGTTTTGGTAGGAAAACCTAAAAGAAAGAGATCACTTGGGAGACTTGAGTGTAGATGGGAGGATATTAAAATGGATCTTAAAGGAATAAGATGTGAAGGTGTGGACTGTTTGTCTGGCTGGGTACAGGGACAAATGGTGGGATCCAGTAATGGACCTTTTGGTTCCAAAAAATGCCAGGAAGTTCTTAAGTGGCTGAGCAACTCTTAAGTTCTCAAGGAGGACCCTGTTCATTGGAGTTATTTGGTATTTTCTGAACATTTGAATATTTTTGGATATGGTAAGGTAAGGTAAAGCTATTACTGTAACAGGCCATGAAGGCCCTTAGGGTTGTGAGGCGTGGAGGCTCCCACATGTTCTAAACAGTCGGCTCACAGACGATGGTAAGGTTGTCAGCCTTATGCACTGGCCACACTTTACCTCCCAGGAAGATTTCTGATACTAATTTCTATTAGAGGCAGAATCAACCTCAAGCCATAGTGTGACTGGAAGAATTAGGTCAATAGAAAAAAATCCAAAGACCTCAACGGGAATCAAACCCACAACNTATTCTTATGTTATATGTAATGAAACTAGGTTGTTTATACCGATTTCTTTTTACATTTATTTTTTCATTTATAGGGTTTGAAGTGTTCATGTTAGTGAATATTAAAATTGTGGTCTTCTGGAAAGTGATGCTGGGTATTCTGGTAGACAGTTACTAGGGCTCTGAAGGAACCTGCTGCTTTTTGCCTTAGGTGTCAGCTCTTATACGGTGAAGATGCAGGCAGCAGGTTCCTTCAGAATGGTGGAAACCATCTACTTAAGTACACATGCTAGGAAACCTTGGTCTTAGTGATTCCTATTACTGAATTTTTTGCAAGTTTGTAAGCTGTTATAGTTTTCTGTTCTGTAGACGCGGATTCTTCTGAGCCTGTGGGACCCAGGGCTTGTTGAAGAAGCTCTGTCCTTTGTAGAAGAGCACAAAGTATCTCAGCCCATACCAGAAGACCCTGTTGATGGAGATGACGGTCTGTGCAGTTTCGAACTTCGACATCAGCAGGCATTATCTCCATACCGACGCATCACGCAGCAGCTGAACTTTGACCTGAGGTCACCTGATCTAGATGACCTTGTGACCCCTGACAGTCCGCACTGTACTCGAATTTTCTGGAGCCTCCCAGCTAATGGAACAGTTCACAAGGCAGCAGATGCTGATGCGGCTTCTGTCACAGCACTGAAAAGTTATGGGTCCAGGTCAAGAGATTCGCTTTCAGGCAGTGAAACACAATTTGAAATTTTTCCAGACACTGAAGAAGGAACAAACCAAAATGCAGATGATCAAAATGAAGAGCAGGAGGCATTGACAAGCAGACAGTGTGATCAGGATGGCTCAGAAAACTGTAATGACATGTTGGATGTAGAAGACAGATCATTAGGAATGGCCAATGGTTTTGACTGTGACTTAGGAAGAAGGTTTTTGGACACACAAGCCATGTGTAGTTCTCCATCGGCGAATTATTACAAACCGACAGATGAGCCAGAGCCATGGGATCTCACACAGCTGAACATTGAAGCTAGTGTTATGTGTCTTGTCAGCAAAGTTAAGTTCCTTTGTGGGCGTTGTGGCAGTCCTGCTGTTCGACTCAGATCCTCTCAGCGTGGGATGGGCAGATCGCGTAGTTTTCGTGGAGGGCTTTCAAATCAGACTACTGCAGATGAGGGCAGTGACAGGAACTCTGTGGTGACAGTTCAGCCAATGAGTGCTAATGGTGGACGTAATATTTTAAACACATCAGATCACATAGAAAAGAAAGCAAAAGAAAACACGGAGGATGAGGATCGACGATTGGAATCAATTGGACTGTCAGCTGACATGAGTAGTGATGACATGATAAACAAGGCTGTGGACACGGTGCAGAAAGCTGTTAACGGTGCTGTGGGGAGAAATGGTTCAACTGTACGAAACAAATTTACCGAGGGCTTAGACTTCGCTTCTATTGTCGATTGGACGTGTGAATTGCGTCCAAGCATGAGAAAACTTCGACAAGCCATGGATGGGCTGCTGAAGACAGCAAGACTCACACACAGTGTGTTTCGGGTGCAGGAGGATGGACGAGCTGCGCAGAGAGCTTGCAATGTTCGTTACCGTCGTGATGTCTGCTTTTCACAGGCTGTAAGTTTGATTGGTAACTTTGCAATTAGCTCTTGTGATGATACTTCTGACTTCATTTATTTTTCTAACTGCCACATATGTTTCAGTTCACTTACTTTTAACTGTATGAGACCACATAACTCTTGATGCTTTAGGAATATTTGAAGGACACAGTATTGTCACATGTTAGTGACTATACATGGGGTTTGGATTGATAATTGGATTTGTTGAATGCTTATAAGTCATAACTATAAAGGATTATAATACTGTCACTGATCTACACATTCTACAGATCATTGTGGAGTGTTAGACACTTACAGTTGTCATTGGCTGTTGCTGGGTAGTGGCTGCAGCATTGGGTATACCTTTGCTTCTGTGCTCATGTCTTTATTGGCTAGTGACTGTCACACAGCTAACTTTCCCCGTTGGTCCTCATTATATAGCCTCTGTATGGACTGCATAGAAAACACTGCTTCCAATAGTTCTGTTGTTATGTGTTTATCCTTTGCCACAGGAGCATGTTTTGGGTAATATGGAAATGTGTTTACCTGTTGCCTAACAGTGGATCACTTTTGTTGTTAAATTATTTTGGCTTTCAGCCATCATGTCACAATATTAATAAAATAGATTATCTTATGGTTTTCCCCCCCTGTCTACCAAGCATTCCATAATTCTTGCCTTTGTTACATTATTTTTCTGATATAATGCAAGCTGCACTTCTACACCTGGCTTCTGGCTTGCACATGAGGAGCAGTGAGAAGTACATCTAGATGTAGTAGGGCAGTGGCTGCTGTTGCATTGAGGGAGATAAAGAGGTTGATGCAGTGTATCAAAGGCCCTGTTATAGTCCACACAGACATCCTACAATCCTTATCTCAGTGAAATCAACCCCAAATCCACCGCACATTCTATTCAAAATGAGCAGGTATGGGAACACTGATAGATATGTATTTGTGGATCCCCTGCCATGACCTGTGTTGACCTTTCTGGCCTCTGTCCATCTCCGGAAGGCTGTAAATACCATTTCTGAGGTCAAGACATCCATAGTGTGTATTCTGTCATGCCCAATGATAGGGTGAACTTGTGAATGATTGCCAGAAGGAATGTAGCTTAACCTAGGCTCTGAACTGTGGGATGGGGCGTGGTATTTTTCGCATACCTAAAGTTTTATCTTTGGTGGTTTCAGCCCCTGAGCAGAAAGTAATTCATACAGATGTAACCTAGGATCAGACTGAGAACCCCCTGAATGCGAGTCCGGTGTCTTACAACAAAATCACCACATTCCATGTCTAAAAAATATTAAATTATGAAGATAGGTCCACTATTCTGTTTCATCGATCGCTGTTTATGATGTAACCAATATCAGTGTACTTCTTGTGGTAGCTGACATCACTTGTAGTGGGGCTAATGGCCAAGCTGTGGTGTCAGAAGCCAGACCCTGCATTCCTGACGGTGCTCACCACACTTGGACCCCTCGTCTCTTTCGAGGGTCTACTGAGTTATTACGGCGATGAGATTGATATGTGGGGGGACATGACTGTCGCAGTGGAGGACCTCTTGACAGTGACTTTCCTGCTCACGAGGTGCACGAGCAGCAGCCCCAGGTACGTGCATATCAGCTGAGTGGTAGTGTGATAGAATTACATTTTGAAGTACCAATTGGGAACTCAAAGCTTGTTGTCCTGAGATTTTTGCCATTTTATTTGTCCTTCTAGAAAAAATTTTGAGATTACTTTGAAGTAAGCCATGATAGCCCTGTTTTGCTTTTATTTGTGGCTGGAAGTGTATGCTCATCTGGGGCCTCAGTGGCAAAGAACTCTGTGAAATGCTTCAGAAAGGTTTTTAGATTTTAACCCTATCATTGCTATAAGAGTGCCCAAAGCATTGGTATCGTAGCCCCTGATAGTTCTTTGTCTTTTCTCATGTTCACTCTAACCTTAAAATGGGGCCTTTAAAAGGCCATTATTTTTCATGGTGTTTCTCCTGACTTCTCTCTGCCCCTTACTGGTTCACTTAACGGCCTTCATATTTCCAAATCACTCTTCCCTGGGGAGCTGAGGGACAAACTTGAAAGGGCCATATTCTCTATACTCTTCTCCTGAATCCGCATTGTTAATTTGCCATAACCATACCACTGTTTGCAGGATTTGAGGTTCTCACAGCGATGGTTACGAGGAGTTCTGTCTTCTGCTGTATAACACCATATAGCCCATTGAAAGTCATCTGACGTTTTGGAGGTGCATGTCGCCTCCATGTTCCTTTGAAACGTCAATTGATTTTCAGTGGACTACACAGCATTATGTCCTAGAAAACAGAACCCTTCATACTACTGTTTCTCTCCACACTCTGCAATATTGGTAATGATCTACCAAAACTACACGGTATCATATCTATAAAACAGTAATCCTCTTTCTAGATTAGTGTTAACACCCACTACTGACACTGACAACCTTCCCATTATGCTTTTATTTTATGTCCTCTGTGGTGGCAGGGGAATAAAATATGTAGAAATGAGCAAGGGTAAAAAGAATAATTGAGGGTGTCACAGTCCTGCAAAGAGACCAGACTTAGCTGCTTATGATGTTGTAGAAAGTGAAGTTAACAAAAGGAGACAGTAATGGCATACAGTCAGAATATCACCTCCCACATATCCTTATCAAGCTTTGATTAATAAACACAACCCATGAAAAAGAGGGAGGGAGGAAACACTTTAGCCTCAAAATGTTTCGTAGGCTCCAACCATGATGATTAGAAGCAGGCACATAACCACTTGGGTTAGGCTGTGTATATATCGTGTTGATCGTTTTAAGTTGCCTGTCTTACAGATCTTGTCAGTCGTCTTCATCTCAGCAGTACCCAGTTCCACGTGTTGTTGGCTCACGTTCAGCTCTGAGCGTTCTCCTACCTGTACCAGATGCTGTGCACTCTATGCTTCCTCTGTCGTCTTCGCCAACTTCGTTCACCGTGACCCCCGTGTTCTTCAATATTGGCATCAATGAGATGGCAACACTGGCAGAGAGTTTGGGTAACACCAGACCTCAAGACAAGAGCAATCTTGACAATTTCGAGAGGGTGAATGAGTATTACTACCGGTTCCGAAAGCTTCATTTTCCAACAGAGGCACCAGGAAACAGAGGTATGATAATTATATGCTGTTTGTTGTGTATATGGTACCATCATTGTTAGTATTAGGACCCTGTGCGTCTACTCCTGGCATTTCAAAACAAAGATGTGACCCTGTAGATGTCTTCTGACTGTGATATAAAGATGCACATGGAAATGGAGGTATACTTGCAAGATTTTGAAGGGAAGAGTCTATTTTGGAGAGAGGGATGGATGGAAAGGTAATATTAAAGTGGTTCTTAACCTTTATTGCCTTGTAATATGACATTTTAAATCTGATTTGGAAGTTCTGTTACCCTTTTCCAGTATGTTTACTGTTTCAAAGCTTCCTTGCAATAAATACATTTTCCAGCCTTCGTTGTAATGATTTTTTGTTTTATTTTTGAGAATGAATGTACATAAATTGGGGTCAGAACATTAAAGCCTGACCATGGCCATAGTCCCCACTAACTGCTGACAAATACAGTTACAGTGAATTCTTGTTTGAATCAGTTATTGATACTGCAATTAATTTAAAAGCAAGCAGTATGTAAGATAATGGTGAAATCCTGTGTTATTCTTCTTGGGATAATTCTACTGTGTCATGGATGGGGAATGGGGTGTTGAGTAACTGTTATCTCACAGTGTGTTATGCTCATATTTATTGCTTGAACTCAAATGTCCATTACAACAAGCAATAATGGGCAGACCTTTTATTTCTCTGCATGATGGACAGATCAGTGGAGACATTTGTCTGAGAACAGCAGCACATTTTTTATTCCTGCAGAGAAGCAATAAGGGTGGCTCCATGTGTAGATCCTTTTCAATTCTAATCTCATCATCATGTGACAAGTGTTTTCCTTCAAGATTCTTTGTCAGTGATCCACAGAAGTGGAAATGAATAGATGCAGGATCTGAGTGGTGGATGGACAGGACATTCCCATCATTCTTTGGGGAAGTTGTTGGAAGCTTTTCTGGAATACACATGTAACTTCATTTTCTGGACCGTGGGGCAGCAGTGAAGGGCAGCACTTCAGCCATGATGAAAGTGAAGGTATGCCAGTGGGAGCAAACTTTCCACTGGAATTGAACTTATTGTCATGTGCAAAATGTGTGCAATTGTAGATGGCGTTTGGAATGGTGAATGGATTTATTGACCACTATACACACGACTTGGATCTATGAGGTGCTGTTCGAAAGTTCCTGGACTAGGTCAAAAAAGAAATACTGGCTTAGTGTACTAAATTTTGGCTGCCATCTCCTACAAAAAGGTCTCCTTGGGAGCGTATATAGTGATCCCATCATTTTTTCCACACTTTGAAAGCACCACAGAGGTCATTTTGCTTGATGCTATCGAGTACCGTTTGTGATTCCCTTTGGATGTCAGACACTGTTTCAAAACGTCATCCCTTCAATTTCATTTTGAATTTGGGAAACAAAACAAAATCACAGAGGGCTAAATCTGATGAGTAGGGAGGATGGGGAATGATACCCATGTTGTTAGTCACAAACTCTGTGGTTTTCAGGGATGTGTGGGCAGATGCATTGTCATGATGAAGGAGTCAGTTGTGGTGGCATCAAAGTGCAGGTTGCTCATTTTCTCCCAAGCATCTTGAAACATCACAGTAAAAGTCAGAGTTGTCTGTAGTGTTAGGAGAAGCAAATTCACCATGAACAGTTCCCTTCACATTGAAAAAGAATGAGCATGCTTTTTGTTGAACACCAGACCTGCCACACCTTTTTTGATCTTGGTGATTGTTGGGCTCTTCCATTTTGATGACTGTTACTTTGTTTCTGTATCATAACTGTAAATACAACTTTCTCACCTCTTATGATCCTAGAGATAGAAGTTGGGTTTTTGTTAGCCTTCACTTGAAGCTCAAGACACACATTTAGGTGCTGCTGCTTTTGATTGCTTGCCAAGAGTCAGGGAACCAACTTTGCAGCATTGTGGTGCATTTTCAAATTTTCTCGTAAGCTCTTCAGCCAAACTAATGGTGTCTGTGAGCTCATGGAATATTTGGCAATGGTCTTTGTGGATGATTTCTCGAATTTTTTCAACATTTTCTGTTGTGCTGGTGCTTGGTTGCCCTGAACGTTCTTCATCTTCAGCTGAGACTTAACTGACCTTGAAACGTGAATGCCATTCAAGAACCACTGTCCGGCTTGAAGAATATTCTTCAAAAGCCGTATGAAGCATTTCAAGGGTTTCAGTAGTGGATTTACCGAGCTTCACGCAAAACTTGATGCAGATATGTTCCTCAATTTTGCCATGCATTGCAGACAAAATGAAACATGAAGTAGAAAAAGCACTAGTGTAAAAACAGTGCATGCTCACAGCATGATGTCACATGTCAGACTGATGCAATAGGCGTGTGGAAGTGTGACTTTGGCCTCCCCTCTCATCTTTTTTTGCTGAGGCAGTTACAACCGTATCAGTATGGGAACTTTCTGATAACACCTCGTAAAAGCAATTGCGGGGTAATTGCTGATCTCTACAATTCACAAATCACCACAGCACCTGCTAAGTGTTTTTCAGCCTGCTGTGTCTTCACCAGCTGTTCCCTGACAACGGCTTCTAACAGTGGAGATTCTTCAGCTTCATATGCTCAGGTCCTATCTTCACAGTCTCCAGTGCAGAAAACACCTTCTATTGTTGTGTTGTGTTTCCTAGCAATGACCACTGTTTACAGTCACTACTTAGCAACAGGTCTATATGCCATAATGTGTACTATGGCTTGGGCAATGTCTTGATCACTCTGGTAATCATGTGGGGAGGTAGAGGGTCTGCCCATTACTCCTTATGATGTAGGATTCTTATATTGAAGCAGTGAAGTACGAGTATAACACATTCTCCTTAGATGTTACTTATTGAACACTGCTTATATAGTAGTGAGCTTCATACTTGAGCTGGTTAAACAGATGTGCTCTATGCAATAATTAATCTCCCTATTACACATACACTGTTTGTGATGAACTTGAAGTTTAGTTTTGTTTAGTAATCAGTAATTAGAAGTGTTCTTATATGATACCAAATTGTGTGCACTACCATTTTGTCAGTTTGATGTAGCACTGTGTCATTTATTGTGAATCTCCATGTGATTTAGGTCCTACATGTGCCCCTCTACAGCTGACACTAGCAGAGCTGGTGGAAAGCCTGAGGGTAGCCGTGCACGCTAAACAGAGTAAGAATGTGGATGTGCTGCACCTCTCATCACGCATCTGCCGCAGAATGAAGGGTAAGCAGCTTCATTATCTTGACCTCATCAAGTCAGTCTGTTTGTTCCCTCCACTACCTTCCGCACTACTTAACTTTCAGCAGTGGAGGTTAAGCAACATTGTACTTGGTTAGATCTTGAATGGATGACCGCTTGGGGCCAGTTGGTTGATTGGATGGTTTATTGGTGCACTCTGTGGCCCTTTACTGGGCTGTCTGTTGGCCCAGACTGGGCACTAACCCCCCAATCTTTCCTATCTGTTGAACCAGAATGTTACATTTGGATACAAAGGAATCAGATGAACGTTCGTAAAGCTCGAGCAGAATGTTATAGGCATGTAATGTCAGATGAGTATACAGTGTATGACTCAGAAGAACCTACAAATTGATGTGGTCTGCTGAAGACATTACAATAAGGAGTTGTATAGTTTATTTAATGATGTTGATATAATGAAAAGAATTAAAATAAATAGATTGAGATGGGCAGGAAATGTTATAAGCAGAGAAATTGAAGAAATTATTACAAAAATAATGCTTGTAAAACCAGAAGGGAAAAGGAGAAAGGTAAACTAAGAATGAGATAGATGGATGGATGGTGTGGAGAAGGATTTGAGGAACTTGGGAGTGGTTAATTTGAAAAGAAAGGCACAAGAGTGGGATGGTTGGAGAAAGTTTTCAGAGCAGGCCAAGACTCACAAACAGTTGTAGTGCCAACAACAACAACTCAGAATGTTTTGTATATTTATTTTGTAGGACTACGGTTTACAAGCTGCAAAAGTGCCAAAGACAGAACAGGTATGTCGGTGACGTTGGAGCAGTGTCACATCCTGGTAGCAGAGTATGGGTTGGCAGAACATGAGATTCAGCGACCGCTGGACTGCATGAGGAGGTAAGCATAATGTAATGGAATCACAATTTAATGTTTTTGCTTATTTAATGTTAAGATTTTATCAGTTTTCTTTTGTTTTGTTCTCAGTCTGCTCTCTGCAGGTCATATCTTAAATGATACTATGATTATATTGTGCCAAATTCATGAAGATTAAGTTTTACATCCCTGAGGTGCAGTTGGTCAGTTTTACCTTAAATCAAGTTGGTGTTTACTAAGTCATTAAGTCCTACATTTGTGGTACAGTTCTCCAGAGAATTGACACAGGCAGTTGGTGTGTTTTGGAAACTGTTAGATAAGTGTACCAAAAACAGTTTATTTGTAGAAACATTTTGAAATATGTAAACTGTGAATTTAGGGTTTTATGGTACGGAGACTGTCGTCTCCTGAGTTCTGACATCATGTAGGCCATTGTGTGAGTACCAAGGTCTTGGAAAGACCTGCTGTCTCCATCTTCACATATGAGCTTGAAGCTGAACTTAATGCTCCTGTTACCAGTCAGTGGTCTGTGGCTAAGTTTATTATGCTCTTTGAGGTGATGATATTTGTTCAGAGTTGTCCTTAATTTTGCACATGGATAGCTTTTCCTTCACTGGTCCCTGATTTCCTCATAATCCCAGTCTTGGTCCTCCCTTCCTTATATCTGTGCCATTTCCACCCCACCCCCCCAGCTTACTTTCCTACCTTGAAGATGGAGCCAACAGGTTCCTCCAAAACTTTGGGGCCTGTGTACCAGACTGCATGACATCACATCCAGAGGACACCACAAATGTCAGACTTACCAGATGTTAAACTTTAATGTACAAACTTTTAAATTGCCAGGAGCCCTCTGTGGCCGGTATTTAAATCACCCTAATTAATTAACATTGCAAACTTTCAGAAAAAAATACATATTTTCCGTTCTATGCAACATAGAAATAGGAACTAAAAACAGTCTGAAAGACAATAACATTTTCTACATATACTCGAAAGTGCAATTTTTGCAAACGAAAATTAACTGTGATTATTTTGTCATGAAATGCAGAATATAATCTTTATTATATATGTTATGAAATTCCAAAGGACTTACCTGTTATTTTTTCTTCAACCTTGAATCATGGTGATATTGTAAATATAGTCACACTATATACAATAATATTTTGTTGAGACTGTACACGAGTTGGAACTGCGTCACTTCACAGTTTACGATACACTCTGATGTGCGTGGCACTTCTCGAAGCAGTCCACCTCACACAGAGCGACATCGCCCTTTTTACAATAGAAGATCGTGCTCCAGCTTTTCTTATTTAGCGAAACACACGACGTCTTTGTTTCCCTTTGGTTGGCCAGTGTTGTGAATGTTTCACCTCCAGTCAATTCAGTTGGGCCCCCTGATAACTTTGGCCTTCCCCCCGAGAAACGCCACTGACCGTGATATTCGGCTTGGGTGAGGGGGTTTCTAGCAAAATCGAATAAATTATATGATTGACAAAGCAACACTCTCACCTGTTGGTAATACTCGCAAAATAGTGATGCAAAGTAATTATAATTCCAGTCGAAAAGAGTGCCAGTCTGACACTGATACCAAAAGTCGCAGTGGCAAAGATGCCTTTTACTCACAAACCAATACTGGCTCTGTGGGTTTATACCTCTTCCAAGACACAAAATAAAAATGATATATAAAGAAATATATGACAGTCTGACACTGACTTTTTAACTGATAAAAAATATTAGACAATCCGACACTGACTTCCTAATTGATAATTCGTCACTGAAAACCAATCCTTGCATGTGTCACACTTCCTTGAAGGCTCTGGAAGCACTCACATGCTAGCAAAGAAGAATATTTCCTCACCAGTTCTCGACACAAAGCTGGGCTATATTTGGCTGACCAGGTCATAAACAGTCATATCTAAACGTAAATAGTATCGAATCCAGTACCATGATAAACGATTTCTTTGTTCAGAGCTAAGGAATGAACCACTGACATGACTTCACGTAGGTTTGTTTTGGTTTCAAACCCAAGGTCAAACTGTCAGCACTCCCAAAGTGTGCACATGTCCTGCGTCATATGTATGTGTCATTCGGCCAAACTCGGGTTGCTGCTTGCGTCATATATACGTGACATTCGGTCGTTAAAGGTTAATGGTTGTACTGCCCACAGCCTTACACTTCTGTACCTTGAGGAATGTATATTCTGTTTCAGTGAAGGGTGTCGCAGAGAGAACACCCATAAGAATACTGGTGTCCGGAAATACGCGTTCAATAGTCTTCAATTACTTACATTACCGAAACCATACCGGCCACCAGCAGGGACATATGGCTCAGCCCAGACATGAAATCGTCAATGCAAGTATTATCTACCATATTTCATTCTTGGGTTTGAGTCATGGTGCAGTAATGGCCTACCAGACTGTAGATTGTATGGCTGTGTGGTATTCATGTACATATCTGCTATGCAAGTTTTATCGATCTGGCCATTAGGCATATAGATAGAAGGGGTTTGAGACATTATTCCTCTGTACCCAATGACACTTAATCTTTATTAACAGAAGATATTTCGACTACCCAGAGACACTTAATCTTTACGAACGGAAGATATTTCAACTGCAGTTTTGCAGTTTAGGTTTGTGTGTGTGAGTTGTGCACAAGCTTAGGATGAAGTGATATGAACTACCATTCATTTTACTGGACCTACTGGATCAGTCTTGCAGTGGTGGAACGAGTTTCTGTTGGGGGGATGGGAGTGAAATATGGTAGTTTTGGGGTAAGATTTGTTCTGTGCTGTAATCTTATCTGGCTCTGGTTTCAGAATTTTCCATGTGTAGACTGAAGTTTACACACCTTTTCCAAACTCTTAGACTTCTGTTACAAATCAAGTTGTACTACACATCCTCTCAGTGGGCCATGTTCTGACCATTAAACTATCATGAAATGTAATGGAATATATCTGATGTGTGCTCCCATCTCAAAAAAGGATTATTTCATGTGATTAGAAAGGTCACAGTTTTTGCCTAAAAAAAACAGCTTTAATTACTGTTTGCAAAAAACCAAATTTTAATTTATATTTGGACCATGTTGCCTCCTGGAAGTAGGTTCAGTGCATGTGTAGCAAAATGTTGGACTTAAAATTTGACCAAAATTCCTAATGTGAAATTTTATCAGTCATTCCACATGTGACATGTGCAAACAGATGAAGACAGTGACACAGTGAACTTCTTGGACACAGTACTTTCCATGAAGTGCCCAAAGTGAATGGTTATGTTGTATTCCAGTATTTCAAGGATACTTAGGTTCGCTAAATGGTAAGCGGATTAGATGTATGGCTGGGTTAAATTAACGAGCCACAACAGAAAGGTGACATAAAACAGTATTTTATTATTAGGAAACTGAATGCTTGATGAAGTACAGGTGTTGTAAATCTTCTGCCTAAGGGTGTGTTAGCTTTGACTCACTCACAGTGCTTCCCTATCTCAAGCCATGGCAGACATCGGTAAGGACTGTAGTCAGAGGGACAGATTTTAAATGAATTATTATATTGTCAGTGATGAAAACTGAACAGCTTGTCATGGCAGACTTATGAGAAAGATATTATGCAGTAAAGAAAGGTGCATATTTTATTTATAAAGACAGAATGGACACATTCAAGTAATTATTATGTGTTATGCATGTGAAGCTTTGTAACTGTGTTTAATGGTCAGATGAGTGAAACCTTGCCTGGTAGGTGATCACGCTCAATTGTAATGTATATCTGGGGTTGTGGATAATGTAGAGAGAGTAGTAATGAAGAGCTAACAATTTGCAGAAACTAAGAAGAACAAAAGGATTCCTGTTAATTTGTATATTTGTTTCTTTTTTTTTAATAGTAATTGTTAGTGCTGTACATTTTGTTTACCATTCTTTTCTGCCATTGCATTCAGATAAGTTGTCATGTAAGCAGGGCTGTAGCCATAAACATGCAAGTCCCAGGGCAGTTGGGCATGAAGTTCCAGGTTGAAAGAAATTCATGACACAGAGCCATTTGCATAACCTAACAGTAGCTTTACTCTTTTAAATATAGAACTGAATTACAAACAGCTCATGGAACACACCTGAGGGCTGACACTTCCATCTCATAGGTTGGAAATTAAACAGGCTGTAAAAAGAAGATCTAAAAGTTTGTGACGATAGTACATTAGTGCAAATATTATGTTTTTGGACATTATCCATTGTCTTGTCTTTATCTAAAAACAGTCCTGTTTATTTTTCAAATAGGTCCAGTGATAGGGACTAGCTCTATCAATTAAGCCCATCTGAGTAGGTTTTACCCAAAGATGGACACAGAATCCAGTCTCCGAAATGTTGTGTTTTGAAAAATAAACAGGACGGTTCTTAGCTAAGTAAAGGATGATGAATAGTGGTTAAAAACATAATGTTTGTACTAAGCTGTAGAAATGGTGGATTTGTAGTTCTTGCAGCAGTGACTATGATGTGACACCATGTGACAGTGCCTCTATCTCTGCTTTGCCATCTGCTTTCTCAAGGTTACGTCTTTGGTTTAATCTTTGATATGTCAGTCAACTTTTACCAAACTACATAGTGACATATTCCGGAAGATAGAACTTTTTGAGGTAGAAGAATTTTATGTTCTCATCGATGTCATTGAAAGAAGTGCACGTGTAGTGCCACTTATCACTCGAGCAAGCACAAGGGCATTGCCATGGCTTCACTACAGCCCTGCTTGTAAGTACAGCACTGAGAAGATTAACTTATCATATGGCATATGTACTTAATTTTATAACAAATGAACCATTTGCCTGCAACATTGTCACAGAGTCAAGACTTGTTACATTGTGCTGATAAAAGTGAGACATCATTGTACATAATACACATGTAAATAGTGAAATCTATATGGTGTACTAATATACATATATATACATAATTTCAGAACTTGATAATTGAATTTCTAAATGTACATATGAAAATTATTAAGACTTAAACAGCACACAACTTTCAGTGTACATTGTTTGTTTCAGTATAGACGAAGTTTCCAAAGGGAATATTTATGAATTGTATGAAAGCAGACTGAAAATTCATATGTGATGTAGCCTGTGAAGCCAGTACATGATACTTAGCTATTTTAGTGCCACAGTGTATCATAGAGAGATTAAGAAAATTGGTTAAAGCATCAGCATTACTTAGATCAGTCTGACATATCCACCATTTTGGATTGTTACTGCTTCCTATTGGTAGAGGCAAGAAACATTGTCACTAGTACTGGGAAATGTGTGGATGTTCATACATGAATGTTATTTAGAAGTCCAGTAGGCATTTTATATTAACAGAGTGCAGTCATCTTACAGTTTCCTGGCAATTGTTTACCTGCTCAGGCAGTAAGAATTTGTTTCTCATCCCATCCAATGAGGCTACGCAGATTCAGACTGCTAGCAGAACCGATGAACCTTGTAATCTAACACATCATAAATAGAACTTCCCCACATTACAATGAATGCAGTAGCATAGTTGACTGATGTACTATGCTGTGAGCCAGAAGGTCGCGGGTTCAATTTCTGATGAGGTCATTGGATTTTTTCAATTTACCTAATCCTTCCAGCCACGCTATGGCCCTGGGGTCAACTCAGCCTCTAACAGAAATGAATACCAGGAATCTTCCTGGGGTGTAAATGGCTGGCAGCAGGCATGTAAGGCTGACAGCCTCACTGCCATCTGTGAGCCGATTGTCCAGAAAATGTGGGAGCCTTGACATACCACAACCCTATGGGCCTTCACAGCCATTTATAGGGAGATCTTTATGTTCTTACCCCACATTACAACAGATAATAGAAATGCTCAGTTATTATGCAGGCATTCCTGGCATCTGAATAGAAAATTTACGCTTGCATGTTTGAATTGAAACTTGAAACTGTGGTCTCCTATACAAGGTGTCCAATGAGTAGATTAGTGAAACCAAGCACTGACATCCAGCGTTTCAGTTCAGTTCCCCCCCCCCTTCTTGATAACAATGAACTTTCCCCTGACAGCAACAACAGAGAGCATTTCCAGCATCTGCTGTAATGTGGGTAAGGTATTAGGCTGTAGCCTTGTTGATTCTGCAGGAATATGAATTTCCACAGCCTGACTTGATGGCAGCATTCTGAACAGCTCATTGGTTTACAGGAAGCTCTTGAGATGATCACACTGTGCTTGGAGGTTAAACAAATGCTACCATGATTTGCAAACTATCATTCAGAGATGTGAGCAGCTGCAGCTCTGTTCTCCTGAGAGCCTGTCAGTTTCAGGTGCAACGCAATTGCGAAATGTGAATATACGGGTTGGGTGGGCACAGGGATAACAACTCCTCGCCGTGGAAAATTAACTCATGACAAAATGTCACACAGGGCCTCAGAAGAGAAATGCATATAGGATTTTGGTGGGTAAGCCAGAAGGAAAGAGACCACTAGGAAGACCAAGATGTGGGTGGGTGGATAATATTGAAATTGATCTTAGATAGTATGGGGTATCATAGAATGGATTGATCCTGCTCAGGATAGTGGCCAGTGGAGGGCACTTGTGTACATGATAATGAACCTCTGGGTTCCATAAAATATTGGGGAATACTTGAGTAGCTGCACAATTTGTGGCTTCTTAAGAAGGTCTCAGCTCCATGGAGTTGGTTAGTTAGAGTATACAGCTCAATATTTATTTTTCGATCTGCATAGGTGGGGTTGTTTGCTTAAGCAGTTGGTGCAGATAACTACACTGTGCAACACTGGTTTTAATAAATTCTTGTGAATCCAGTGTCCTTTGTATGTACAGATTACAGAAATGTTACCTAAAATGTTCTGTTAGCCACCATTTTCTGTGTAAAACTACAGCAATTGGTACAAAGTTACAGTGCTTCATATATTGGCCATGCTTGCATCTGCCCTCCAACTTCTTTTCTCAATGTGATATTTTGAATATTTATGGAACAAACTGTGGACTTCTTCTTTTTTCTGAAATAGGGTGTATCATATATGATATTGGAGGTTTTTGTAACAGGGCTCCTACTGCAAAGATTATTAACTTCTAGGATGAGTTCCACCTAGTCAAGTTACCAATGTTGTGGAGGAACCTGCTGCTTCCATTTTCAGGGCAAAACACCATGTAGCATTTGTTTTCCCCTTGTGTGCATTACTTGTGACATTTTTTCCCACCCATTCTCCTCACTAATTCTTGGTCCACCCTTATAAGGCCTTCCATCTTCTTTTGTCCAGCTCACAGCCATAGCCTCCTTTCCTGATACCCTGAAGATGATGGCAGTATGTTACTCCAAAACATTGGTACCCACCTTCCATTCTGCATGATGTAGTTACCCAAAGGACCACAAAACTGAGGATGTGTCATTTTCGAACTTCTTCCTGAATCAACTTCAAGTAAATATTTGGGAATGGTAAGGTTTCTGCACACAGATGGAACTATGATAAGCCATTTCAGTGTTGTGACAGCTTGCAGACATAACAGCCAGAGCTATCAGTAGTGCAGGGTAAATAGTATTGAATGGTAGAATGATTGCAATTGGAATGGATTCGGAAGGAAGGAATCATGCCCTAATGTGTGGTATTGTCCATGCATTTATGTAGAAAGACTGCTTTCTTCCCTGCAGTTTTTACCCATTCTGTTCCCATGTACGTTGACAGTGATAACCGTTTCTGGTTACAAGCTCTTTGGGTTTGTTGACATAGGTCACAGAGGGGCCAGATGGGAATACAGCAGTGGGCAGAGCATGGGAAGCCTCAAGTGTTGCCCTCCCCACTACCCACGGGATTTCTTTTTGTGGTCTCAGTTTATGAATCTGCATGAAGATAGAAGCTTGACTCATATAGGGAGCTTATAATGTGCTACCCCAACTAAAGCAACTTCAGAGGCTGTTATGCTTAGTGAATTATGTAAATTGTTCTTGTTATAATGAGTAGCAGAGCTGCTTAATGAATACAGTATGGAGATATACATTATGTTGCCAAAGGGTCAGTATATGGTCAATTCCTTTATCTTTGTTTTTATCCTGAGTGTATATTTATCATGAAAATGCTGTTTCTTTGAATCAAACTAGTACTTCACAGTAGGGGGAGGAGGAGGAGGACCTTGATATTAAATAATGACATACTGAGTTGTTCAGCATGCTGCACCAAACATCTAATGCACTGTAGCACGTTCATGAAGGAAACACAGAGGACTGGCACTACAGCCCACTGTGAGCCTTGTCATTATGGAATTATAGTTCCAGTCTTTCTTAATGTTCAGCACTATAGAAGTAAGTGGTCAATGTCATGTCCCTGACTGCTTTTCCTCAGGGTAGAGGCCCCAAGTACCCATTTTAGTAGGCTGGGTGGCCCCCAGAGCCAGTGTGGACACTGTGGCAAAGAGAAGAAATTTGGCACCTGTCTGTGGCGCTGCATGGTGTTGTAATCCAGAAAATGACATTAGGAACCTTCATCATCATGAAGACATTTAAGTCTTACATAAAACTCACCTTAGCTCGTGGGCAAGTGCACTGGTGATTGTATGATTTAATCCTAGTCAAGTCAGAATTTGATATTATTATTATTATTATTATTATAATTATTATTGTTGTTGTTGTTGTTATTATCATCATCATCATCATCATCGCCAACAGTTATCTTCTTCTTTTTAGGAAGAACTCATTATACTCAAACACAATAAATTTGGTGGACATAACCTTAAATTTCTTTCAATGTGTTTGTAACTGAACTACAAAGAAAGTATATAAAATGCAGATTCTTTTATAATCTGTCTCCATACTAAGTTTCATACCTCTAGCTCCAGTGATTATAACATT